TCCAACTCATAGCAACCCTATAGGACAGAGTAGAACTTCCCTGTACAGGTTTCTAAGACTACATCTTTATGGAAGCAGACTGCCACATTTTTCTCCCATGATTCAAACTACCCACCCTTCAGTTAGCAACTGAGTGCTGTAATCACTGTGCTACCAGGGCTCCTTGCCCAACCCACAGGGGCCTTAAAATAATACTACAAATAATAACAGCAGCAGCTCCCCCTATGAAGCACTCACACGGACAGGTGAGAGCTCACGCACCCTCACAGTAACCCTGTGTTATCCTCATTTCAGAGATGGGTAGAATGAGGTTCTAAGAAGTCAAATGGCTTGCCCAAGGTGATGGCAAGAGCAAGTGGCAGTGCTGGGATGGGAACAGGTGTGTTCTTGTTGGGATCAGACTAGCTGCCTAGATTTTTTAGCACAAGGCCTAAGAGGGGTGGGTCATCTCAGTGAATAGTGGACAGTGAGTGAGTGAGTCAGCAAGTGAATGAATGAAGAATGAATGAATGAATGATGTTTAAGGGTCTCTGCCCTTGAGAAAGTGTGGGAAGGACATGGGCCTCTCCCACATTGCCCTGTGGGGAGATCCCCGAGACTATAGGGCTGTGGGAAAAAGCCCAAAGCTCAGCTTCTTAGCAACAACGGTCCCCAACTTTCCAGTCCCAGGAATCCCCCTGGCTGATCCTAAGGAGCACTGAGTTAGCACCACTTTGGCCTGTCTCCCACTGTGGCCCCAACTCCCTGCTGTCCATAAAGCCAGAAGTCATCTTCAGCCTTGTCCTGGGCTGAACTCAGAGTTGGGACTAGGGTCTGGGAAGAAGCGGACCTCTCATCCACCCCCCTGCCTGCTACTCTCCCCCTCTGCAGCTCAGTGGAGGAGCCTCTGGGATGGGGGCCACACACAATCAAAGGCTCCAGGAGCATGGGAGGTGGGGAGCTGGGGCCCTCTGCTGGCCATGCCCCCCTGCTGGCTATGCACCCTGGAGTGGACATGGATTGAGAAGATTCTTCATTCATTATGATGGCGCTTCTGCTACGTTCCAAGCCCTGTGTTAGGCGCTGGGGTTCAGCAGAACACACACACACACACACACACACACACTCCTGATGTCTAAGGTTCCATTGAGGAGACTGGTGTCTATCTGTCTGTCATGAGCTCCCTTCCACCAGATTGTTTCCACCCCCAGAAAACTGAATGCTCCCTGTGGCCAGCACCTGTGCCTCCTCCTTCAGACTGGGGTTCCCCAGGGCACAGTTGTGACACCTCCATCAAACTAGGGGTTCCTAAGGTTAAAAGATGAATCTCCCCCATCAGGCTGGGATTTCCCCTAGGACACAGCAGTGCCACCCCAACAGACTGTGGCTCCCACTATCTTATAAAATCTCTCCCCTCACTCCCAGAACCACCCTGGCTAGGGCTGCCAGATAAAATATACTCCAATTTGAATTTCAGATAAACAATGAAGGATATCTTAGTATTAAGTATCTCACAAATATTGCAGGGGGTATACTTACACTAAAAATTATCTCTATCTGAAATTCACATTTAGCTGGGCACTCTGTGTTTCTATTTGCTGAGTCTGGCAGCCCTGTCATTGCAGCTCATTCCTGCTGCTGGCACCTGGCCTGGCCAGATGGCTCAGGTCATGCCTAGACTTGGCCCCTACCTGCCCACTCATAGCTCCTGTTGGCCCCTAGAAAGGCTGCTCTCCCCCACCAAACCCCCTGCTCCCAGGTGGCTACCACCCCAGCATGTGGCCCAGCTTATGGGTCATCAGGAATGCTTGGTCCCCTCTGTGATGGATCCAGAGAGAGAGGGACAGAGCCACAGCTGGAGAGAAGGACCAAGAGTGTCAGAGACACAGAGATAAAGGAACCCAGAGACCAAGCAGATGGAGACACAGGGGGAGAGAGGCAAGAGAGAAAAAGACAACTTAAGATCGTCTTGCTCAGAACTGTTTGAGAGAGGCCAGTGCAGGGGTGGAGGGTTCTAAGAGCCCCCAGAGTTCACAGAGCAGCTCTGGTGCAGGGGGAGGCAGGGGTACTAGGGTGTGGGGAGCTCCTGCACGGGCAGGCAGGAGAGGAAGTGCTCAGGTCGCATCCCCAGCCCTGGCTGTTCTCCCCTCACCCTGTCTCCCTGGGGCAAACACAAGGACATTCATGCCTATGGAGCAGCCAGAGTGGCTTTTAAAATTAGCCTCGCTAACCAGATCTGGTTATTTCAGGAGGCTCTGTCCCAAGCTGTCCCCTTGGCGGGGAGGGCGCAAGGAAAGAGGGAGGGACTGCCACATTCCAGGCCCCGCCTGAGCACCCCCTGTGGCCTGAGCAGCAGAGAACATTCAGGTCCCAGTTCCCTGGCACTAGGTAGGCCTGGATCTGGGGCCATTACTTTGGCAAAATTGTCCCAAAGTTAGCCATGGATGTCCAGGGACACCCCAACTGTGGAGGGGAGCTGGGAGGACCTACATACTGAGCACGGGTTCTATGCCAGACACCTTGCAAGGTACCCAAGAGGCCATGATGGTCTCTTCAAAGCAATAAATGGGACATCTACCTATTTCACAGGTGAAGATACTGAGACTTGGAGAGACAGAGTTTCCCTGTCTATGATGCAAGGGAAGGGGGGTATTGTGATGACGGGGTCTCCACCAGAGGCTTCAACACTCCTTCGTCTGGGGAGACCTCTGGCTGCCTCCTCCACCACCAGAGCTATTTCTAAGCAGAGGCTAGCGCTTCCCGGAGCCCATGCTCCACCCCCCCCCACCCCAGCCCTAATTCCAGCCTTGGGTCAGTGTGTCCTGGCTCGCCCTCCCCACCTCAGAACCCAGGAGGAGCCCAGCGCTGGCGAGGGCACAAGGGAAACAGGTCTAGACACTTTGATCCTCAGCCTCCCCTGGTTCCACCTTGGAGCCAAGAGGGCTGGGGCGGAGTGGGGGCCTGGGCTGACACTCAGTCCTTCCCACAGTTGGGGCCTGGCACCACCTGGGCAGGTCTGTTTGCCAAGCTGCCCCACCATGGTCCTCAGCTGCTCCAGCCTCAGCGATGGGAAAGAGCTGTAGGGGAGGGGTGCCAGAGCCCTCCAGTGAAAGGCTCTTCACCCCGAGTGATGGCTGAGACACTGGACTCGGGAGCAACCGACAGTTCTCTCTCCAACAGGACATCTGTGCCCAGCACTGGTTCCTGCGCCTTCCGTGTGCTGTTGACCCCTCCAAAGGTTGATAATGATCCCTGTTAATAGCTAATCATCTCCCACCCATGCTATGCTTTGAGCCCACCGTGTTCTAGGGCTGCACTCTAAAAGGGTACCAGTCTATTCAGTCCTCACCAATGACGATCAGGGAGGTGCTAAGGAGGTCAGGATTATCAGCATCCCCACTGTACAGATGAGGAAACTGCGGCCAAGAGCCAAACTCACAAACCCAAGGTCACAGAGCTAGGAGATGAAGAGAACTCAAAGCTGACTCCAAAGCTAAGCTCTTGACATTGGGGCTGGCCCTTGGCTGCTGGCATGAAAGTCTGGGGCAGAGGACTGAGAGCTAGAGGCTGGAAAGGGTGCCTAGGGGTGAGGCTGATCAGGGGAGTGGAGTGGGCTTATAGGGGACCCATGGAGCCAAGGCAGTCTAGAGCCAAGCCCAGGAGGGTGGGGTTTGGGTGTGAGTCACAGCCAGTGGGTGGACTGAGGCATCTGAGGGCCATAAGCAGCATGACACTTCCCGACAGCTCCTAGGGTGCACTCAGCATTATCCCGGGGAGGGGAGGGCGTAAGAGCTTGGGGGCAGGCCACAAAGCTGTCAGGAGGCCAAGCCAGGTCCTGTGTCCTTAGGGCCCAAGTCTGTGCCTGCCCACAAGCCACCTTTCAAACCTGCTCTTCCTCCTATGGTCCTGTCAAAGAAAAAACTCCCCTTCACCCAACACCCAGGCCAGACCCTCCCTCCCTTCACACCCTATCAAGTCTTTCACCCTAGTTGCTCATGCCCCACTTCCTAACCCTGCCCACTGTCTTCCTGGCCACCACCTGTCCAACAACAGCTTCCTCAATACTCTCCCTCCCCTGCCACTGACCCCACCCAGCCACCTCCTCCAGTTTCTCTCTTCTACATGCCGTTTCAAACTCTCTGTGGCTCCCTACACACAGCACAGAGCCCCTTGGTCTGGCATTCAAGGCCATGTGGTTCCTGGCTGCATGGTTAGTCCTTCCATTTGGAACGTTTGCTGCCCTCGGGCATGGTCTCTCCTGCACACTTCTGCACCTGTGGCTCCCCAGGACACTGTTCTGAGCCTTCCCACACTTCAGTAAACAGGCATCAGTGATGCTCAGGCCCCACTGCTCCAGGAAGCTCATGCTTCCCACACCCAGGTGGGGTCCCCTGCCAGTGCGCTCCCCAGGTCACTGATGGCCCTTTATAACCATCTCCCCTGATAAATGAGCCCCTCCAGGCCAGGATCTCAGTGAATTAATCCTGAACACCTGCCACCCTCATAGATGCTGGTGAGGGCTTAAGTCCCTGTACGAGAGCCCTTGGCACCCCCTTCTGGTCACATTGGGGAAATTCTTGGGCTTCTCTGAGCTTGAGAAGGGAGGGAAGGAAGCAATTCACTAACTGTGCACCAGGCACTGTGCTGTTTGCTTTCCATCAGTTTATTTAATCCTCATCATGATCCCATGGGAGAGCTACCATTACTCCCATTCTACATAAGTGGGAACCGAGGCTCAGGGAAGCTACTTATGCCACTCAATGCCACTAAGAGGTGGTGGTGGTCGTGGTGGTGGGTGCAAACCGGTCAGTTCTCTCATAGTAATCTGATGGACAACCAGGGCCCACTCTTAGGACTGCCTGGCCCCAGAGCCTTGCTCCTCCCTACAAGGCAAGAAGAATGACGTCATGAAGGGGCAACTTGCCCTTAGAAGTGCCCCCAGATCCAGCAGCCCCCTTCCACAGAACACCTGCATGTGATCAATCAGGGTGGGGAACATGCAGAGCCAGGCCCACTGCAGGTTACAATAGTGATAAATAGAATTTATTTTGTACACCTGTTACCAACATACACACGGCCGCGGGAGCTTCCAAACTAGCTGTTGGGGCTAGAAGGCTGGCCTTTGGCATGGTGCCTAAAAAGTGTGAACAGACACACACAAGAACTTGGACTCAGAGCAGCTGTGACTGGTGGCCCCCTCCACAGTGGAAGGGTGCAGGAGTGAGGCCGGTGGCTCTATGCCAGCTGAGCCCCCTCAGCTGGGAGCATCCCACAGCATGGGATGGTAAGGGTTAAGCTGGGTGCTGGCTGAGAAGCCAGATAGCTCTCCCTTCTTCCGCAAGGGGTCACACATGTCTGTCACATGTAGGCAGTGGACAGGGCATTGGCAGATCTGCGATTGAGTTGGAGGGTCCAGGAGAGGCAATGAGCTCCCTGCCCCTCAGCCTACCCGGGACCCCAGGGACCCCAAGAAACAGAATGATGAGAGGATCCTAGGATGACAGTCCCTCTTCTGAGGCAGGTACATGGAATCACAGTCTTCAGGGACCTCTGAAATAATCTTGTCCATTTGCAGAAGAGATGCCCAGAAAGGGAGAGTAACTTGCCCAGAGCCACACAGCAGAACCTAAGTCAGAACTCAGAATGGCCAGCCCTGTGCTCTCTCTGCCAAATACCTCACACCCTGCTTCCTTCTAGTAGACTATGTGCACTGACATATCTCAATACCACTCCCATCTTTCTCCCCTTGAGTCCAGAGGTGTGCCCAGAGGTAATGGGGGCTTGGGACAGGCATAAGCTGGGCATGGAGTCCTGCTTCAACCATCTACTCCCTTCCCAGCCCAGACCCTCCGCCTGGGGGTGGGGAGGATGCCAGCAGCTGCCCCGCTTGAGGTCTGGATGGCTCCACCCGGCAGAGCAGCCCAAACTGGTAGGTCAAGAGGAGGACTGGGGAGGCAGGGGACAGTCCAGGGGCTGGGGCTGGCCTTGAGGGCAGAGGTCCCTTCTGTCTGGACTTGACACAGCATCTTCACCTTGTGCTTCTGCGGCCTCATCTACGGGGCAAAGGGAGAGGGAGACACCCTGAGGCAGGGAGGAAGGAGCCTGGGAGGCCTACCCTTAGAGTTCCATGGTTCTGTCCTTTCTATCCATTGGGACCCCTCAGGTCCCTGCCTCCCCCAGAAATTTCCACTGAATCTTCCCAGCAGCTTACGGGCAGAGGTGAAGCCCCACTGTACAGATAAGAAAACTAAGGCCCAGAGGGGCCCATGACCTGCCAAAGTCACCCAGCAACTGAGTAGCAGAGATCTGACCCAAGATGCACTGCTCTCCCTCAGAAGCGGGAAAGGGAACCAGGAGGAGTCAGCCCCTACCTGCTAACCTCCCCCCACCAAGCAAGAGTTGAGGGGCAGGGTCTGACCTGCTTGGTGTCATCTTCAGAGAGGGTGGCCCGACTAGGAGCCCTGCAGACAGATAACATGGCGAGGCAGGTGAAGGACAGACAACAGTGTAGGGCAAGAGACACAGGCATGCAGATGTCACTGGCTGTACCCAAGCTGGACCAGCCCATCTCTTCTGTCCTGGAGCACTCTTTGCCCAGCCCCACTCCTGTCCCCCGGATGTCTCTCCCTCCAGGGGGCTTCCTCCCAGGGAAGTGCTGGGCCATCTGCCCCTGCCTTGCCAGCCCCCAGGGGCTGCACTTACCAGCCGGGACATGTGCTCCTCAGACACTTCCAGCTGGATCTTGATCTCAGGACACGCAGGGTCCCCTGATTTGCCGGCATCTGGGTGGGGTGACCTCGAGGGGCCTGGGGAGGGGGGCAGGAGGGAGCCACCTCACTGGCCGCGGGGAGGCACCAGGGAAACGGGGGGCATGGATGGGTGGTCGGCATCGTGTTCCCCAACCCTGCCAAGTCCCTCCCTTAGGGAAACCCACCCTTATTGCCCTCTTGCCCATCCCATCAACCTCCAAGACCCTCACAGCTGCAACCAGTCCTCCAACCCCCCCACTGCCCACTGTCCAGGCACACAGTCTATAGGAGGAAGCAGGGTATGAGGCGTGGCAGAGAGCACTGGACCAGAGTGCTGGGTTCTGACTGAGTTCTTCCGTGTCTGCCCCACGTCAGGGGCCATCAGGGCCTACACCTGGGCCCCATCACATACCCACCACCTGGGGTGTGAGAACTGCTCTCGGACATTGTGTCCAGCCTTGTCCCCTCAGCCCTTCTGGGGGGGGGGGAGAGAAGCTGCCAATTGCCTGATACCTGGTGAGCTGCCCCCACTTGTGGTGCTGACACTGTCCTCCAGCCACGTGCTATAGATGAAGGAGTCCCGCTTGTGGGGCGTCCCCGAAGATGAGACACTCTCCTGGAGAAAGGAGAGAGGAGAGGCAGAGAGGTTGGCCTATACCATGGCACTGGCTTGACCCTCCCCCCCACATTCTATGAGCCCCTATCCTTGCCCCACCGAAAGGACGCTGGGTCCAGCATCGCCGGAGGAGACCACAGGAAGGAGGGCAGCCTGGAGGCAGGTGCAGATGCAGACACACATCAATCACAACCATTCATTCATTCATTCATTCATTTAGCAAACATTCACTAATGTCCTCCATGGCTTGGCCCAGGAGAATGGGCATGGCCCCTGCCCTCAGGGAGCTCAAAGTCTAGGCAGACAATAGAACTAATTATTCTAGAATCTAAGCCCCATACAGCGGGGCCTTGGTCTGTATTGTTCCCCACCGTATGTGCACCTGGAACAGTGCCTGGCAAGTAAAGGTTTGCTGACTAAAGTATGACCAAAGGGTGCTAAAGACAAAAGCTGGGGTGTTCTATGAACCTACAGGGGATTCCTAACCTACCCTGGGACTTGGAAATCAGGGAGGGCTTTTAGGAGGAGGTGATGTGAGGCTGAGTTGAGAAGGCTGAACAGAAGTCAGCCAGGCAAAGGAGGAAGAAGGAAGAGTGTTCTAGACAGAGGCTTGTGCAGAGGCCTGGAGATGGAGTGGGCCTGGTATGTTTTGGGGAATGCAGAGTGGCCAAAGCAGTAGGAGATGAGGTTGGAAAGGGAAGAAATGAAGGGTCAGAAGGTCAATGGTCTCAGAGACTAGGCTGTCTGTGGAGGGTACTGGGGACCCATGGCAAGCTTAGAGCTGGGGAGGGTTTGTCAGTGTTGTTCTTTTGGACTGGGCACCAGATCACATTTCAGCCACATGGGTAGGCTCATGCATCTCCAGGAATAAGAGGTGCCCCCAGCCCTGGCCACTGTGGAGCCAGCCCAGGGCCACTCACCAGGCCTGTGTCGTCCCCGTCCACACCCTCCGTCTCCTCCACCACACTGGTGAAGCTGCTGGCACTGGACGAGGAGCGGGAGAAGTCCTTCAGCACTTCTGCTCTCTGGGCCGCTGTCTCCACTCTGCCACAGACAGTACCCTATCAGCCAGCATCACCCTGGACACCAGCTGGGCCACATCCTCATCCCCACCCACCCAGCCCAGAGAGGCCAGCCAACAGCTTTTGTGCCCCCATTATAGTTCCCTGTACCTCTAAGCCTCCCAGGACTCCTGCTGCAGCCTCCCCACCACTGTCCTTCCTAATACCTGCACCTGAACATGCCCTACCCTGCTCAAATCCCTCTCATGGCTCCCCAGTGCCCCAGATGAAGTCTAATCACCTTGGCTTGGTTTCAATATCAACAACTAGTAACAATATCATCTAGCACATGACTGACTCTGTGCCAAACACTATTCTAAGCACTTTCACGTGAATTCTCTCATTGTTATCATTGAACTCAAAGAGAGGGTGTGTATGTTACCCAAAGTCACCCAGCCATAGGAAAAAGAACAGAGGTTTGGATCAAGCCTTCTGAATCCAGAGTGCGATCTCTTAACTCTCCCATAATTTTGTATCATGCTCAGGGCCTCTGGGTCTCCTGTCTGGAGTCTCACTTCTTCCTTCAAATCACCAAAAGCAAATTCATCTTCCAAAACTCAACCAAGGGCCCCCTACTCCAGGAAGCCCTCCCTGATTCCTCCACCCAAGGTAGGAATGACCTCCTTCCTCTGGGTCCTGCTGAGGACCTCCCTTCCTATCCCTGGTCCCTGTAACCTTTTTCTGCCTTCATGTTCACTCGCCTGACTCTTCAGTCTACACTGGGTCTCCTGGTCCTTTTAGTGTCTGCATGAAGCCTGCACAGAGTTCAGCCAACGTGTGTTGAATGGAGGCCTGAGGGAGAAGTGGGCAAATGCCTCCAGGGCAACCCCCTAAGTCAGCCCACATCACTAGAGCTTATTAAGGCCCTTCCACGCCCTAGGCCCATCAGCTCCACCTTCCAAATACATCCCAAGCCCCTACGCTTCGCTCTTCTTTCACAACCACCATCTGGTCCAGAAGCATCTCCTGGCAACCTCCAACTGCCTCCTCACCCATCTCCCTGCTCCTGTTCCTGCCTCTGCCCCATCCTCACACAGTGACCACAGCCAACTTTTTAAAAGCCTCACTCCCTTAATTACAATCTCCCAAAGACTCCTATTCTCACACAGTGTTTTCACATGGTCTCCAAAGTCGTGCCCAGCTCTCTGATTTCATTACTGCTGCCATCCTACACGTGCCTGCCAGGCCCAGCCCCTTACTCCCTGGGCTCCAGTGCTCCTGCACTACCTGTCTTTCTCTCCCTCAGGCAGCCAAGCTCTTTCCTGCCTCAGAGCCTTTGCACTTGCTGTGCTTTTTACCCTCTGCCATGCCGGTGACTCCTCATCTAGTTGCCCCTTTCAAATGTCACCCCTTTAGCGATGTCTTCCCTGAGCACCCATCTAAAATGCCACTCCCTAGCATTCTTCACCATATCCCTGTTTTACTTCCCTCCTGTCATCTCTACCTGCAAACAGCTTATTGGTTATGTCCACACTGGACTGATAGCTCCACGTATGCTGTCTGCCAGTGTTCCAGGGTCTGGCGTGCACAAGGCACTCAATGGCTGTGGGTCTCAGGGAGGACCCGAGGGAGCACCAAGGCCTCAGCGATGCCGTGGTGTGGCAGTTGCAGTGTCTCCAGGTCCAGGCTGGGAATGGAAGGCATGAACCCACCACACCCAAGCCTCCAGCTCAGCATGCCCTGAGCCCCAACCTGTTCTTGGTTGTGGGCATCTCTGGGGAGCTCTGAGTGGACGAGTTCTCCGACTTGGGCTCTTGTGAGACGTGTCCACTGTCTGGGGTCTTCTGGCCAGCTGGGGGGCTTTCCCTGTGAGGCATAAAAGGGTAGCAGGGGGATTCAGGACCAGGCCTGGCATCAGGAATAGAATGAGGCCCAGGTGGTAAGTGGAGGTCATGAGCACCTCATAGCTCACACCCAAGGGGGCTGGGCTCAGGGATCCCCTCAGAGCAGTCCCATTGGGCTTCTGGGCCAGCCTGGCCAAAGAGGAGGCGACACTGCTGGAGCACAGGTGTGACAGGCACCTCCCAACTCCTCCCCACCACAGCAGGGAAACTGGGGCCCAGAGATGAGAAGGAACCTGCCCCAGGACACCCAGCCAGGACGGATTCAAGCCAAGATTTGAATCCAGGTGAAAGAATTCCACATTCTAGTGATGCTGAAAACTGTGCCAGCTCCCCCACAGAGCCTTCTCAGTGCACCAGCACCATGCTGAGCTAAAGGGCGTTGCCCTGAATCCTCACAGCAGCCCCATGATGTTGGCTCACTTCTACTCCCGTTTTTCAGATTTGGACACTAAGGCTCAGAGAGGTCCCATGACTTGCCCAAAGTCACACAGCCCAGTTATATGTCACACGCACAAACTAGCCTCTGTTTTCCAGGGGCTGCTGAGCTGGTAACACGATTTTGCTGCCCCGTGCTGCCCACATACACATACCCACATGCCCTGACCAGCACTGCCCTGACACCAAGACAGCAGTACTGGCCTCCTCTTCACTTGCTGGGGCAGTGGAAAGAGCACGAGCGCTAAGCGCAGACAGACCAGGGCCCAGAGTCCAGCATGCCCTTCACCAGCTGTGGGGCCTGGGCAAGCCTCCTGCCCCTCTGACCTATGGCTTCTCCACCTACAAGGCACAGGCCCCAACACTGAGCCAGCAAAAGTGCCGAGAGGTGACCACGTTTCTGGGGATGTGACATACTGGCCCTGGTGCTGGATGCATAGCAGGGATGTGAAGGCACAGCTGTCATGATGGGAGACACAGTGGGATGGGGCACTCCCTACTGCCTGCTTCTCTCTGCCATTGAGTGGGGGTCAGGAGAGGGGCTGCAGGCGGGGACAGGAAAGGGGCCTGAGGAGACAGGACTGTCCCACCCACCTTTTCTCCTGGACTTCCTGTATGTTCTCAATGCCGATGGCACTGCTGCGACGTGAGCCAAACGGGCCTGACTTCTTCCTTGTAGGGCTCTTCCCAGGGACAATCAGTGACTGCAGGGAGAGGCCCAATTCAGTGCCAATCTGCTCTGGGAGCCCCTGTGCCTCCCACATGCCACCCTGGCATCCCTCTGTCCCGGGCCCTGAAAAGAGGCACTGAGCAAGAAAGCAAGAGAAAACATCTATCTCCAGAGGTAGCTCCCCCAGTTTACAGATCCGGAAACCAGGGCCCAGAGAGCGCAAGCTCCCACAGCAGGGCTGGCCTTGGGATCTTAGCCCAGGGTAGAAGGGTGGAGCCTAAAGGGGGCTGGGGCAGCCAGTCTGGGGCTGGGAGGGGAGGAGGCCAAGTCCTCAGACTGGTTAACCCCTCCTCACCTCTCTGGGTCTCCATGGGACCTACAGCCAGTGGGTGGATGCTCAGAGAGCGGGCGTAGCAAAACCCAAGCCCCTGTCCCAGCAGCAAAAAGATAGCCTCCTAATTTCCCCACACACTGGGGGTGCCCCAGGCATCAGAATTAGGAAGGTGGGCCCCAGGGAGGCACAGAGAGGCAGGAGCCCCCAAGACAGTTTATGGCAGGGAAGTGGGGGGGTGGTAGGGGCAGAGGGGAAGGATGGTACTCCATGCAGAACCAGCGATATTGGGGGACGTGCAGCTGGGCACAGGGTCTTTGGGTACTGAATCCCAGCAGGGACTAAGCCAGGGTCCCAGGGTCCAGGGCAGGGTCAGAGGCCTCTGGTGGGGGGCACTGGTGCTGGCACAGGTACCAGGCCCCAAAGCAGGCCCTGAGTGCCATCGGAGCTTCTGGCACTTTGTCCTGCACACCCTTGGGCCTGTCCCAGGGGTCAGGGGGCAACGTCCCCAATATGGCCTCCGTCCTGAGAGTGAGCAGAGAGCAGCGCGTGCAGGCAGCCTCCAGAGCTGGTGGCCCCGCGGACGACAACCTCTTCCACGGTTCCTATGCCTATGGCACTGCCCCGGCGTCCGAATCTACTCGCGCTTTTCCCAGGAATAAGCAATGACTGGCAAGTAGCAGAGGACAGGGGCAGAGAGAGGCAGACAGACATTAAGAGGGTCAGAAAGACAGATGGAGAGAGGGAGGTGAGACAGGGGAAGGAGGGAAAGACATAAGGATGGGGAAAACAAAGAAAAGAGATGGGACAGAGAAGGGGAGAGAAGTGAGATGCAGAAACAGAGCAGACAGAGGAAACAGAACAAGGGATAGACAGACAGTCATAAAGACAGAGAGAGAGACGGGGGCATGCGAGGGGGGCAACAGTGAAATACAGAGGTAGGAAGACAGAGATGGGCACAGGCAGAGACACAGACAGAGAGCAAGAAAGGGGCAGGGAAAAAGGAAAGAGAGAACAGTGGAAAGGAGGAGGAGAGGAGCGAGCAGACAGGCACAAGAGGAGAAGAAAAATACAACAGTGGGAGAGGTCAGGGAGAGGAAAAGCGAGAAGAGAGACACAGAAGGAAAAACAAAGAAAAAGAAGAGAGTGGAAGGAGAAGGAACATGAAGAGAGAGGAGAATTGTGCAAAGACAAAAACAGAAATGGGTCTGGTTACTGCCATGGTGGGTGCTGCTGGCCTGGCCCTGTCCCTGGGGCCCCTCTTTGGCCACCCATAGGAAGCTGGGCCCCTTCAGAAAGGGGATTGGTAAATCTAAAAGGGGGGAGTTGGGCCTGTTTCTCCAATGACAATGGGCTTTGTGACCCTGCTAGATAGCAGAGAATCCACCTCGCTTCCCTGTCCAGGCCAGACCACAGGACAGGTGTGAGGGTTCCCTCCTGCCATGTGGTACAGCCTCACAGCACTGAGCACAGGGCCTTGCATGCAGTAGATAGTCAATAAATGGGGGATGGATGGATGGACGGACAGGGCTTGGGAGAGCAAAGCAAATGAGTGTAGTGCTCTGAGTGGCCACTGGGTGGCGGAAAGCAGATAGGCCTACAAGTGAAGCCTCATTTAGCATTCTCTGTTCCCAGCATCCCCTTAGGTGTTAGCAACAGAATCCCAGAGTCTGGCAGACAGTAAGTAATCACACAGTAGGTGCTCATTCACGAGATGCTTACATAGAAGCCCAGTTCTTGACACAACAGTCAGTCACACAGCTACAGTGGCCCTGGTGCACAGCTGGTGCTCATACCACAGCCTAGGGCCAGGCGCACAGTAGGTGTCACAGAATAGATGCCCACATAACAGCTCACTTCCTGACACATAGCAGGAGCTCAGTGAAATCCAGAATATAGCACACATTATGTGCTCATACAGCCATCCATTTCCACACACACAGTAGGTTCTCAGAAATCAGCCCAAGGCTGGGCATACAGTAGGTGCTCACAGAGTTGATGCTCACACAGCAGCCCAGGACCTGACACATAGTAAGTGCTCACAGAAGCTCAGGGCCAGGCCCATAATAGATGCTCACAGAGTACATGTCCACACAGCAGCCCAGGCTCTGACACACAGTAGGTACCCACCCAGCATTCCAGAGCCAGGCATAGAGTTGGTGCTCACACAGCAACTCAGGTCCTGTCATATAGTGGGTGGCCACAGACTGACACACAGTAGGTGCTCCCAGAAACCCAAGGCTTGACAGTAGGTGACCACATAGCAGCCGAGTCCCCAGCACACGACAGACAGTAGGTGCTCAGTAAGAAATGTGAAGTAGAAGCTGCCCCAAGCTGACCCCAAGAAAGTCCACACCCATATGAGGGGCTAGGAGAAGAGGAGGGCTGAGGAGCTCAGGAGAGGGCTGCAGGCTCTCAGCTTCCCAGTGTCCCAGCCTAGGAACTTAACCCCATGGAGAGGAGTGTCTGGACCAAGTCCAGAACCCAGGATGGGCATGTGGACAGCGAGGTGATAGAAGGACATGGGGCCAGCTTCAGGAGGTAAGGGAGAGCCAGGAGGGGGGCACTCACTATTCCAGCCGCCTTAGCCAGGTCTGGGTTGTTGGGCATGAAGCTCCCGCTGTGGCTGGTGGACACGGTGTTGGGCTTCTTGTTGCTCAGCCCCATGGCGTCCATGGACTGGCTGCGGCTCCGAATGACCCGCTGTGGGGGTGAGGCGGGGCACCGGCTTCATAAGGCACCACCACCTCAAGGAAACCCAGAGCCTCGGGCTGCACGAGGAGCCAGGCATCTGGTCCCTTGCCACCAATACCCTCTGGGTGATGCCCAGGGATTCCCCTGCCCTCATGAGGCCTTAGTTTCACTGTCGCACAAGAGGCAGGTCCACATGGGTAGTCTGGCTCTGCCACCAATGAACAGGGTGACCCTGGGCAAGCTGTTTCACCTCTCTGAACCCCAGTTTCCTCCTCACATGGTTGTTGTAAAGACTGAAAAAGGTACTGGGTCATGACCAAATGTGCACAGAGAACCCTCCAGAAACCTCAGTTCCCTCCCAAGATTTCTTAGAGCTTCCTTCTTTCTTTTCCTTCCTCCCCTCCTTTCTTAGTGAATCTTTACTGACACGAGACCACGTATCTTACGTTAACTGTCTGTCTACCCATCGGCCCTCCGAAGGGGTGACTATTATCACCACCATTTTACATATGCTGAAACTGAGGCAGAGGCGAGCTTGGAACCCAAACACCAAATCCCATGCCCTTAACCATCAGCTCTGCTGCCTCTTAGAAATTCTTGGACCTAATCTAGGTGCACTGTCCAGCACTCATCAAATGTGGGACCACTGGAGACTGCCTCAAAGAAGGTCCCCAGACCTATACTCATCCCACCCTTCCCGTCTCCAGTGAGCCCTCCCCAAGCCTCTTTCTCGAAAGATGAGTCTGTTCACCTCACCTCCAGGGCAGGCTGGGCAGCTTGGCTAATTCCCTCATGCAAACCCATGTCTCCAGCTCTGTGGCCTGGCCTGGGGTGAAGGCGAAGAAGCCTCAAGAGAGCCTGGCTGGGGCACCTGGAGAATGGGCCATCCTCTTGTGGGTGTCAAAGAGGTGTGGCACTTGCACCCTGGGGTCCTGCCATCTGGGTGAGTCCAGGCTCTACAGAGAATGCCCTCCTCCTTGGCCTCTCACTCTGACCAACAGATAGTCGCTGAGGCAGGCAGGGCATTTTGCTTTTTAATTTAGTCTAACTGCTTTACAAATAAAATAATAACTCAACAACACAATATGAAGTAAGGTGCTGTTATCCTACACAACAGATGAAGAAACTTAAGAACAGCCAGCTGGCCAGTGGTCCAGCTGAGATTTGAACCAGGGCTTCTGTGCCCTTAACACTAAGCTGCCTCTCCACTGGCCACTCAGTTCATACACACACCCTCAGGGACCTCTGCTTGTGTCCCTATTTCAGAACAGAGGACCTTCCTTTCTTCAGCACATACTGACCTGCAGCCACTACCCTTGGCACTTCAGCAGAACTCCCCGGAGCAGGGGCATAGCAAGGTTAACAAACAGCCAGGGAAATCTCTAAGACATCTCTCCGTTGGGTCACCACCCTCAGTTTCAAGATGAACAGACCTTGCTAGCAGCAGAAGAAAAGCCTTCCCTCTTCTTACCTGGCTGCCTCAGTCAGGTGCCTTTCATATCGGTGGCACCTCAGAATAACATTCCATGCCTCCTCTGGCACCCTTTAACTTGAGCCCAGAAGGACGTGTCCCGCTCTGCCCCACCTCGCTACACCTCTGGATGCCTACCATGCTTGAGGAAGGGTGCTGCTGGGCCACGCTGAGTTAATAGTGGCTCAGGGGCACTCCCCCTCCAAGTGGCACCCAGAGAACGAGCCATACTTGTCATATCTGAGATACACCTGGGCCCTCAGGGACTCTGCCCCCACATCCAGGCCCTGCCTCCAAGCCACTAACTCTTCCCCAAGCTAGAACCCCACCTTATACTCTACTCCCAGTAGCAAGCTCTACCCCAGAAACAGACCACACCCCCAAGTCTGAACCCACCCCAAATCCTTGGGTTCACCTTGAGTTTCTCCCTAACCTACACTCCACCCCCAATGGAAGTTCGTCTATATCCTCACTCCCACGCCTGGCTCACCAGTCCCACCCCCAACCCTATACTAAGCCACCCCCCCTCACAGGGGGGAGGGGGGAGCGCGGAGGACTGCGGGGCGGGGCACAGGGGGCCTGGGGGGGGGCGGGCGGGGGAGCGAGGAGCTAGACCCAGGGGAGTCACCTTGAAAGACTCGAAGAAGCCCCCACCCCCGCTGCCGTTCTCCATCTTGTCCTCGTCCCCGCCCAGGCCCATCATAGACTGGCTGTGGGTATGCAGCTCTTCGTAGAGTGTCTCCAGAAGGGCGGCCCGCGTCCGCTCCTGTGGGCCAGACGAGTGGTGAGGAAACCGCAGGCTCTCACGGTTCGAAATCCGGCAATCAAGTAAGCGGTGCGTGGGGAAGAGTTTGGGCCGCTCGAGGGTATTCTGGCTTCCCCAAACCCCTCCGCAGATCAGGCAGCCCCCCAGGGCTCTTGATGGTCCCTCAAGATCTGGCTTCACTCCTCCATTCCCATCCCTCCTTGGCCCTTCTACCACCTTTGAGGCCCCTCCTATACACACCTCATAACTAGTTGCCCTGTTGATTCTGACTCGTGGTGACCCCATGCATGGCAGGGTAGAACTATAATCCATAGGGTTTCGGTGCTGACTTTTGGAAGGAGGCTTTCTTCTTAGGCACCTCTAGGACTCAAACCTCCTATCTTCCCATTAGCAGCCAAGTGCATTTACCATTTGCACCACCCTGGGACTCCACCCAAGCCCTGCCGTTGTTGGCTGTTGCCACGTACATTTTGTGGCCACCCCCATGTGTCGTGTGTAGAGCAGAATTGCTCACAGGGTTTTCAAGCGTTACCCATTCCTAAATCCTTCCTCCATCTGCTGCAAGGCCCTCATCCCTGCCCAGCCATGGTCTGAACAAGGCTTTTCCCTCCCCAGGGGCAAGGCTGAGATTCTGAGAAAGGAGTGGGGGATCAGCCCTAGCAGGAGACCCACAGCCTCACCTCCAGTTTGGCAAACTTTTCTGCCTTGTAGCAGGCATATTCGGCATTGATCAACTTTGTCAACAAAAATTCCTGGAACTCAGGCCCCTGGGAACCCCCAGCATGGAGGAGAAGAGAAGAAGAGTCAAGTTAGCACAGAAATAAGGGGCTGAACCCCCAGGAGTCAGGGGCTGGAGCTCCTAAGCCACCCCCTGCTGGGGTCTGGGGCTGCTCCCACCTCATTCACAGAAGGACATCTCCTGGGGGCTCAGCTCCACAGCCCAGCCACCTGAGGGCCCTGTGCCTTCATGCCTGCCCATCCCCTCAGGAGGGCAAACTCCTTAAATGCAAGCGCCTGGACTGGGGTCTCCTACTGCCTCTTTTGAGGCAGCAGGTGTGTTGTGCATGGGGCTGGAGCCAGGGCTCAAAATGTAGCTGCTGAGAGGTGGGGAGTCGTGTGCCCTGCTCCCTAATCATCTTAGAGGAAAGACGATTATAACTGAGGAAGGCCACAGAGTCTGCTATGAAAATGTGAAATAGTACATCTGCTTGTTGTGTAATCTTGTAAAAAACAAACAAACAAAAACACTGTTTTTATCAAGATGGCACAGCCGCAAGGTAGGGGAGCCCAGCTACCCCGACAGAATGTGCACCCCCCCTCTGCCCGTGACCTGACCGGGAGTAGGGCTGCCACTCACCTTCCTGAACACAGCAGGGTCTGGGAGAGGGGGCCCAAAGAAGGGCACATCATCCCTGGCAGTGACGGAGACCTGGAAGGGAGGGCAGCTGTCTGTGGCGCCTGGAGCCTGCTCTGCCCCAGCCCCTCGGCCCCACACCAGCCAAACAAAGCCAAACCCACTGCCATGCACAACTCTGACTCATGATGACCCCGTGTGTTACACAGAGAACTGCTCCACAGGATTTTCTTGGCTGTAATCTTTACAGAAGCAGCAAGCCAGGGCTTTCTTCCAAGGCGCCACTGGATGGGTTCGGATCACCAACCTCCTGGTTAGTAGTCAAGTGCTAGCTATTTGTACCACCCAGGACCCCTAAATTACCACCCTTTCCCACCCTATTATGGGCATAGGGCCTGGCCCTCAGGAGGCTCAGTGACTGCTGATTGGGTGAATGAACCCCAGGATTTCCACTCCTTGACCCTTTGCCCTGAACTTGAGTGGTGGAAAGGGGTGGAGGGCAACAGGAGTAACTGGCGATAGTGAAGTCAGTTAGGCTGACGGAGGCAAAGGAGGGTGATTCCAGGCCAGGGGGTGGAGGAGGGTAACCAGCCCCTTTGAGGGGGTGACCTTTGGGAAGGCAGAGAGGGGAAGATGGGAATCCTCCCTCATCAGCACAGGAAGCAAGCTCAGAGCCCCTCTGATGAGCCCCACTTACAGTTGGGAAAACTGAGGCTCAGAGAAGCATTGCGGCAATGAGGGCACAGCTATGGCTGGAACCACAGCTGATGCCCTAGGTCTGGCTCTGAGCCTCTGGCTCCAACATCACCCACCTTGTAGAGGGGGCCATCAGAGCCCCCGCCCTCAGCCTGTACCACCACATAGGCATGCAGGAAGTTGGATGCAATCATGTCGGGGACGAAGGGTGTGTTCTCATCCTGGAAGACCACAGCCACGATGTCATTCCCGATGTGCCGCTTCCGCTGCAACTAAGCACAGGGTCATGGCCATCACCCAGGGAACCTTCGGGGGGCAGGGGACACAGTGCCAGCAGGGCTGGGGGAAGGTTCGGGGCAGGCCAGGGGCATATTTAAGATTAGCTTTCAAAAAAAAATTTAATGAAAAACTTATCTTACTTAATTTTCTTGGAATCCTGTGACAGATGAGGAAACTGAGGTCAAGTGAGGAGTGACTTACCTAAGGCCCCACAGTAAGTTACGAGATTCAAACTGAGGTCTCCTGGTCCCTAGACCCTACTCTTCAGTCCTTTTCCTATCTAAGTCCCCCAAAGATGCCCTTCATTGAACAAACAAGCTCCACTCAGCATATACTTGTATGGCTACAACAGACGACCTTATTAGAAGAAGATAAAAAGACATTAAAAATAAAGAATAAATGTTTCTATTTTTCTCCCATTACCCTTTCATCCCCATGGGATGGGTGGGGGTAAGGTAGACAGCCCTGCAGGAAGCCCAGGGAAAGGGGGACACATTTTTTAGTCCAGTTCCCTGAATTTTCCCTGTACTTCCTCACTTCCAGGCCTCCTACCTCCACCAAGTCTAAGGGCCCTCACGGAAGCCACAATGCCCTTCAGTCCCCATGGTAACACTAGCTCCCATTTACTGAGCACATGCATGGACCAGGCACTCTTCCATTATCACTCTAACTGCAGGCCCTCATTTCTGCTCACCTGTGACGTAGGTGCTAATATTCCCATTTCACAGACTTGGAAACTGAAGCTTTTCACAACACTGTAGCAACCTGTCTCCCCTCCCCCAAATGGATTGAGAGCCCTTGAAGGGGTGGGGTTACTGAATCATTTCCATCTCTACCCCAAGGCCCAGTAAGCACTGAGCCTGGTGTGATGGACAGGTTGATGGGTGGGTAGGTGGGAAGCAGGTGGGTGTGTGCCCAGGCTACCTGCTGGGCGTCCCCTTCTGTGTAGGGCAGCTTGGTGGACACGTGAAACATGATCTCCTTGTTGCGGAAGTTGCAGTACACAGACTCGGTCCCCGTCTGCCCGTGGGTCACGTCCAGGCCTCCTCGGAACCTGCCCCCAGGCCCCCCAGGCCACGGCTCAGTCTCCAGCCCCAGCCAGGCCTCCGTGGGGCCAAGACGAGGGCTCCCTCCCTGCCCAGGGGTATAGGGCAGATTACACTCTATTTACCCCACCCTGATGCTCACCCCTTAAAGTCCTGTAGTTTGATCTTCTGGCCAAGAAACTCCAGGAACTCCACAAAGGCTGGGCTTTCCTCATTGGTGCTGAAGAGCTCTTCCTCAGAGGTCTGGGAGCCACACAGAGGGGCCGAGGTCATCGGGCTGGGGCTCCTGAGCAGCCCTGCCCCCCAGCCCTGATGGTGCCTAGAAAAGGCCGAAGGGAGGATCCCAGGCAGCCCCTGGGCCCCTGGGCAGCAGAACCCCTTGGCAGGTGTTAACCTGACTGGTGCCCTGACAAAGGTGTGAGGTCCCATATACAAGGTAAGGCAGGGTTAGGGAGCAGGGAGGGGGAGGAGGTGAGCACACCTGTCCGAGCTTCTGGTAAATGACTCCAAACTTGAAGTTATTGCTGATCACATGCTCATCAAAGGTGACAATGAGGCGGGAAGCCTGGGTGGAGAAGATAAGTGGGGATGATGGGAAGAGTACACATGGTTTTTTCAAGTTGCCGTGTACTGAGCTCTCAATGTGAGCCAAGCACTGGGCCAGGCCCTCTACATTCCTCACCGATTTAATCCTCGCAACAAGGCCATGAGGGAGACACTCTTGCTCTTCCCATTTCACAGATGGAGAAACCAAGATTTAGAGAGCTGGAGTCACTTGCCTGAGGTCAATAGTTGGTAAGTGGCAGAGCTGGGACTTGAACCCAGGTCTCCTGAATTCCAAAGCTTAAGTTCACTGCTCTGGAGTCTGTCCAGGAGCTCCCTTCCTGCCATGGTTGAGCCCACCTCCATTCAACTCTACAACATCCAACTTGCTCTTTGGCTCCTCTGCAAACCCACCTCACCCTTCTGGAACAGGCCAAATCCCACCACCTTGCTGTGGGCCTTGAACAGTTTCCTCAGTTTCCTCTTCTGTAACTGAGAGGCAGAACCTGATTCCTGAGGCCCTCTCCCTTAGGGGCCCTTTACTGGATGACACCACCCATCAGGGATCTCACCCTGCTCTAGAATGCAGTTGGAGCCACAGGAGCCACAGGCCACAAGGCTCACCTCTTCCAGGAAGCCTCCTGGCTCATCGAAGACAGAAGTCCCCACACCTTTACCTACATTGTCAACAGCACCTCAAAACCAGCACCTAACACCAGAGCTAGAAGGGTACCCACTGTCTGCAGGCAGCATTTATGGGGTGCCCTTATTCCCCCCAGGTTTCCTCTGCAGTCAGAAGGCAAGGCCAGTGGAGAAGAGACTTTCCCAAGGCAGGCCTGGAGTCCCTGTGTCTCAGAAGCACAGTTGGAAGGGTTTCCAAGCAGCAGTGGGAGTTGCCAGCTATAAGTAAGACCTGGCACCATGGCCAACAGACAAGATACCTGAGGTTTTAGTGCAGGCCCTCCTTATCTGCTGTGCATCCTTTGATAAAGTACAGAACCTTTCTGGGACCTTGGTTCTTCTTCTGCAAACTGAGGACTTTGCAGGGTTATTGTGAGGATTAAAATGAGAGAATTTAGGGAAAATGCCTGGCATACAGTTGGTGTCCAATAAATGCTTAGTCCCCCAGTTACCCCCCCCCCCCTTAATGAGCAGGGCCCAGATCCAGCCATACCTTGGGGTAGAGCACAGGGTAGAAGCGATCCACATTTACATCTTCACACACCAGCTGCAGGAGGAGATAAGGGAGGGGCCTGAGTCAGGGGCAGGCCAGGAGGGGATGAGGCCCCTGGGACACAGGTCTGGGGGAGGACAGCAACAGGAAGGCTAAGGGAGGAGCCACACTGGGAACCACCAAGGCTGAAGCAGGATGGGGGTGCTCACTGCTCCTCAGAATGGGATACAGAAAGCTGGGGTCCTGGTACCTAAGAATGTTCTAGAGAGTACCCAAAACAGGTGAACAGGGGACAGGAGCCCATGAGAACAAGTAGCATAGTGGGAACATGTGAGAGACAGACCACACAGACAGGGCTACTGCCCCAGGGCTAGGATCTGGAGCTAAAGATGAGGCCTTGCTAATGCAAAGCCATAGCCCAGCTGGGTGCCCAGCTGCGGTGCCCAGACAGGGTGGGAGCCCTAACATGGGTGTGGGGGGTGGCAGAGGCCTCACCTTTGCCATCTGGACCACATTGGGGAACTCGGTGAGGCAAGAGATGGGGATGACGTCATGGTATGTCCGGCACTTTGTCCTGGGAGGAAAAAGACAGACTGAGGAATTATACAGTGAGACAGGGAGAGTGGGCCCCCCGGAAAAAGACCAGAGAGGGTGGACCACAGGGAGGGCCTGAGGCGATGATAGGGCCTGGGGCTGGCTGTGCAATCTAAGACATAGCCCCTCTCTGGCCATGAAGGGGAGAGTGGCTACAATGAGTTGGCTCTCAGATTATAAGACCTCACCCCTCCCCCGCCTTTACCTAAGCAGCAGCCGCAGGTGCTCTTGGTCTCCAATGACATCATACTTGAGGGAGAAGACCAGGTGGCCCAGGGCTGTGTCCAGTGAGTAGTAATTGAAATGCTCCTAGGTGGGAGATGGGGGTAAGGGAAGTGGATGAGGCTGAGCCTGGGGTCTGCAGGAAAGCAGACTAGGAAAGCCAAGTCCCTCCCAGATGGGGGCTCTTCACCAGGGACCAGGCATCCCAGCTCACAGCACAGGATCTGCAGGAGACAGAGCTGCATTCAAATCCCAGCTTTGCCACCTGCCAGCTAGGTGGCCTGAGAAAGTCACTTCTCTCTGTGCCTTGGTTTCCGCACTCCACATGGAGTACAGTTCTATGCTGACACACACAGGGTTGCCAGGAGTCTGAATCAACTGGATGGTAATTGGTTTCATTTTGGTTTTTCATTCTTGGTTCGTTCCCAGGTGATGACCCTGTACTGGGGCCTGCTGGTTTTGTCAACAGTCATACTGGATCTCCCCACTGGCACCAATACCCCCAGGGACAGACCAATGCCCCAGACCCAGATTAAGGCCACACAGCTTCCTAATCCCCAATGGAGGCACCCCCTTCTCCCAAAATACACATGTACACAGACACACACCTTGGCTCTCGGGGTCCTCACCAAAATTGAGGACTATATATGTATCTATACACCTGTTCTCCTGTCCCTATTCATCTCAGGGCACACCGTAGGTACTCAATAAAAGTATTGAGCCAACTGACTGGTGAACCTGTAATTTAGAAGGCCCTGAAGCCAGGGCCTGTCAGAAACAGGAAGTGAAACAGCTCGGAAACACACTGGGTAGCTGATCCGGCAGGTTCTCGCCTTCCTGCTTTACTTTGACAGTGGCCACAAGATTGGGAAGAAATATACCAGAGGGCACAAAGGGTGGCTGTGGCAGGAATGGCACCCCCAGAGGAGCCCAGAGCTGGCACCTCCAGGAGAGGAAGTCCCAAAGCCAAGGGTTGTGGGTGCCACCCAAGCCTGGCCCTGGGCTCCCCTGCCCAGCCCTGGCCCTGGCAGTGGAGCCAGCTTCCCAGCCACACCCACTCCAGGAATCATCCTGGAAGTGGGTCCTGTTTAAACATGAACTCTGTTCCCAGAGGGCAGGAGCAGAGAGTTGGAGGGCCACAGGATGCTCCCCACAATCCATAGTTTAGGGAGGAGTATTCTGAGTGGACTTGGAGCAGAGTTCCCCCAGCTCTGCCTGGATACGGAGGGGCAGAGATCCCCAGATGCCTGCCACCAGCCACAGAGAGGGAGTGACAGGCACTTGACAAGGAGAGTTGCTCCAAAGTCCTGGCTGGGAAGTTTCCCTCCCCTTCCCCCCCTCCCCCCCAAAAGCCAGGCCCAGAGGAATCCAAGTGGAAGGGTGGGCTCAGGGTCCTAGGAAGTCAACATCCAAAGTCACTCTGACCACCTCTCTCTGCTAGAACAGGACCCAATGCTGAAGCACCTGGATGCTTCCCTAGTCATTCTACCTGGAGTCAGGAAATGGTCTTGCCTCCCCACCAACCTCCAGGGGCACCCTCCACCCTGGAACTCCCTCCTCTCAGTGCTGATAACCTATTTCCTGGTGACCACGCCTCTTCCAAGAATTTGTTCCTAATCACCCCAGGCCAAGGCAATTCCAATTAAAAAAATACACAAGCTCCTCCCATGTGCTAGGTGCTGGGGGCACAGACCAGGTCCTCCCCTGAAAATGGGGTATCTGAACCCCCAACTTGAACCTCTTCAACTCATTCAGTGCTCAAGGTCCACCACCTCCATTCCGTCACTCATCACAGATGCTGTCAGCTCTCACACCCACACCCAGTCGAGAGCCTCTGAACTGTGAGAACCTGGGATGCAGGTCTCTCTTTCCACCTGTGGTGCTCAAAGTTGGAATTTCATGGCCTGGTCTGGGTTTGGAATCCCTGAATAGCACAAATGGTTAATGCATTCAACTGCTAACTGGAGGTTGGCAGTTCCAAGTCCACTTAGAGGGTCCTCAGTAGAAAGGCCTGGTAATCCACTTTTGAAAAATCAGCCATTGAAAACCATATAGAGTGCAGTTCTATGCTGACACACACGGGGTTGCCGTGAGTCAGAATCAACTGGATGGTAATTGGTTTCATTTTGGTTTTTCATTCTTGGTTCGTTCCCAGGCGATGACCCCTGTACTGGGGCCTGCTGGTTTAGTCAGAGTCATACTGGATCTCCCCATGGCACCAACATTCTCAGGACCAGACCAATGCCCCAGAACCAGGTTAAGGCCACACAGCTTCCTAATCCCCAATGGAGGCACCCCCTTCTCCCAAAATACACATGTTACACAGACACACAGCTAGGAGCTTGACTCCTCTCATAGTGTATGTCTCATGGAAAGTCAGCCAGACCTGCTCAGTAATTCCTGGCTCAGTAATTGTGTGACCATGGCCAAGTCACTTCACCTCTCTGAAATTCACTTTTTTTCCATAAAAACAAAATAACCCTGATCTCACAGGGTAACTGTGGAGATTTAATAATAATAGCTGACATTTATTAAATGTCACATGCCAGGCATGGTTAGCTCTATGTACCTTATATATACTTCTATTCCCCACTTTCACAGATGAGGAAACAGGCTGGGGAAGGTTAAATAACTCGCCCAAGATCACAGTATCAAGAAATGGAAAAGCCCCTCCTGTAGCTTCCAGCCAAACAAAGACAGGCATATGAGCTGAACATTTACATTAGATACACTCCTTGGAGAGACCGATCATGGAAGAATAGAAGGACTGTGTATACACAAGGAGACAGCTGGGAGGGCAGGAGTGCATGGGAGGGAAGGACACAGGGAAGAGGTAACTATAGGAAGTGGGAGGGGAGCTATTGCATTGTGGGAGATTGCAGTCAATGTCATGAGACAAAGTATATGTGAGCTGCTGTATGGAAAGTGAATTTGCTCTGTAAACTTTCACTAAATCACAATAAAAATTTAAGGAAAAAAAAAAGAAAGAAATGGAAAAGGCAAGATTTGCATCCAGACCATGAGACTCCAGAGCCCAAGAGATACTTCTCCACTTTGTTATACACTGACAGACAGACAGCACCTAGCATAGAGTCTGGCATGTACAGGGTCCCTGCTTACGCCCACCCCTCCAGCCCGTACCACTGTGGGCCATAACCTCACCGAGTAAATGTCACCTGGAACACTGTGGTACAACACCCTGATGAACTGTCACTGGGCAGGGTCCCAGCCCCCACCCAGGCTGCCACAGGGTAGGCTCTGGACCTATTTTAATTGGCTATCACATACCTGGCCTAAAATGGGGCCAGGCACACAGCTCGTCCTCATGCTTGCTAACCCTTGTCAAATGCTCACTTGGTGCCAGTGCCATTCTAAACACCTCAGAAGCATCATCTCAAGCCTCACAGCAACCTCAAGAAGTGGGCACCGTTACCATCTCTACTTTTATAGTTGAGGAAGGAAGCACAGAGAGGTAAAGGGATTTGCCTGATGTCCCACGTCATAGGTGGCATAGCCAGGATTCAAACCCTGGGAGAGTCCCTGCTGTTAACCACAATGCCATACTATTATTGCCTTTTGCAAAAAATGTTTGTTGAATGAATGAGTGAATCCACTACACATGCTCCCTGAGACTCTGGACTCTGGGACTGTCACCCAGGCTCAGCCAATGAGTTCTGCTCTCTGCCACCCCCGAACACCAGCAGACCACTCACCTTGCCAAGAAAGTGCTTCCGGTAGATGCGGGCTGTAGGGTTGCACTCGAGCTTCACCTTGGTTGTGGGTGACTGCAGTGGCTCTGTCTCTGGGATGCTGGTGATTTCATGATTGGTGCCTTCAATCCAGTAACCCCCGAACTGGGGCAGCAGGATGAGAGGGAAGGGCCCTTCTCGCCCCAGGACCTGAAGGGGGAACCTGGCTGAAAGCCACCCCACACTGCACCCTAGGACCACGCCCCAGATCTGCAGCCACTTTTGCCATAACTAAGAGGTAGTCAAGGAGGCCTGGCTTGGCTGCTAACTGAAAGGTTGGTGGTTTGAATCTACCCAGTGGCTCCATGGGAGAAAGACCTGGCAATCTGCTTGAGAAAAGAGTCTAGCCTAGGAAACCCTATGAGGCAGCTCTACTCTGTCATACGGGATTGCTATGAGCCAGAATCATCTTGATGGCACCCAACAACAAGGGGTACTAGGGACAACTAGGAGCCTGTGTGAGCCCCTAGGATTCGTATCCATCCCCCCAGGGTACATGCTCCAGCCCTTCTCCTACTACAGTCATTGACCCAGATAGTACCAAGCTCCATGTCCCTGCCTGGAAAGCAGGGAGGGGGCAGGGAGAGCTGGGAGCATGACCTCAGCCTAAAGAGGCAGAAATGGTCAGCTCTGAAGTCTTGGGCCTGTAAACTGAGTCTCAACCCCCACAGCTAGGCCTATGGGCAGGCTCCAGAGTGGGAGGGGGAGGACCCGGGCATCCTGGGACTCAGAGTGAGGGTGGGCCTGGGGATCTAGTTACCTCATGGACACTTGGGTAGGGGATGTAGTCCTCCTCTGTCTGCAAAACACAAGCAGGGTAGAGCCCTGGGGCAGGTCTGCACCCTTCCCATCTTCCAGTCTCCCCAGAACGACTCCATCTGCTAAGCCAGCTAGCCAAGCCGGGTGTGTGGATGGCGCTGGGTCCTCATCTTCCCATTTTGCAGATGGGACAAGAGATTGCCTTGGGGTGACTTCACAAGGCAGAGACTGAGGCAGGCTTAGATCACTGAGGGCTGGCATCTTCTGGATCCTCTGCCTCCTGGGAAGAAACCTCTGGACCAACAGTTCTCACTGAATAAGTCAGGGCTGGGAGGCTTGTTAAAACAGCTTGCCGAGCCCACCTCCAGAGTTTCTGACACAGTGGGTCTAGGGCAGGGCATGGGAGTTTACATTTCTAACCAACTTCCAGGTGATGCTGATGTTGCTGGTCTGGGGATCACACTTGGAGAACCACCGCCCTGGACAAAGCATCAGGCACACGAACTCACCTTTAAACCTCACCCCTGTAGCCCTGGGCCCACTCCCCCAGGCCCAGCTGCTGGCCTTCCAGGGTTGTTGGGGGTCCCAGACACGAGGAACTATATGCCTATCTGGAGGGGCTGTATAGCTTCCCAAGAAAATTCTGAGTTGTAAAGGAGAGCCTCCCCTCATGTTCCTGTCAGTTTCTGGCATGAGCATCATCAGCCCTTCCTCTGTCCTCCACCCTCCACCCCAGGCAGGAGCTACACGGAGCAGTAGCTCATTGGCCTTCTAGGTCTGGGGCTGAGTCTTCCTGCAACTGCTAACCATAACTGGTTTTAAGGGAAAACCTTTTGTGACAGGCTGCCTTCAGAGGAGTGGGGGCCTTGACTACAGGGCAGGAGATCTGGAAAGTCAGGTGGGTTTACTGAGTTTAGGAGTTTATGGAGGTGAAGATGGGGTGAGGAGTCATTGGAATGGAAGCCCTAGGGCAAGGGAGTTCTCAGTGTCTCAGATCTCCCCCAGGGTCACCCTTAGGGCCCCAGAAAGGGTAGCTGGATTCTCCTGGCCACTGCTTCCATAGGAGCTGTGACAGCATTTCCTGGACCCCGCCCTACCACCCCCTGGGGTGTGGAAGGAGCATGACCCCTTGCCCATCCCTCCCCCCCCAGATATCCACACTCTTCAGAAGGGGCTGGTCCACAGGGGTGGGCAGGGGAGCCGTGGTGCAGACCTACTTTGAGGGGTGGTGGGAAGGAGCATCGTTGTTCATCCATCCTGCTTCCCTGCAAAGAGAAGGCAAAGTACCCCCATCACACACCCTCCCTGCCTCCTGCCTCCCCACTGAAGGAAGGATCCCACCTCTTTGTGAGTGTAAGGGGAAGCCTCAGGAGAGGCCTGCAGACATGCAGTGCTCCCTAGGTTGGGGTGTTGGCCCTCTCCAAAGGGTCAGCTGTCCCGACAATACCCTGGGCCATGGAGGCTGCCAGAAACTGGTGGGGGCTGGGCTCTGCACTGGAATGCACGTGCTGCTAGGAGTGGGGGCAGGGGCTCTGTATGCGGCCTGTGT